CAACAGAAATACTGGTTTGAACCAGGGAAACTTGAAGAACCCTGTTAAAAACAAGTAAGAACTGCCCCATAATGACACTTGACAAGCCTGCACACATGACACAGTGTGGAAAGAAATACCCATGAAATCCCAAGACGAGATGGTTAAAAACAAAAACCACAAGAGGTAAGAACAAAAACTTCCCAGGAAAGAAGTTAACAGAATTCATTCACCAAGAATTACAGACAATAAAGAAAACAGACTACATAAAGTCAGTGTGCTTAAAATGTCTCAATACATAAGAGAATAAAAAGTATACAGAAAACTCTTGCTTTTGCTCTCACCATGTGATATGCTGGCTCTGGCTCTGCCTTTGCCTTCTGCCATAATTGTAAACTTCCTGAGGTTTCACCAAAGCCAAACAGATACCAGGGTTATGCTTCCTGAAAAGCCTGCAGAACCGTGAGCCAATTAAACCTCATTTCTTTATAAATTAAATAAAAAGGTATACAGAAAGACTAGAACACCATGGAAATAGGCACATTTGGGAGTGAAGCTACAGAAATTCTACAGTTTAAAATGTATAATTTTTAAAAAACAAGTAAATTAAACATAGCTTAAGGGAAAATCAGTAAATTGGAAGACAGGACTGAAGAAATCTCACAAAATGCAATGCAAGATTTTTTTAAATATTCAAAGGAAGACAGAGAATAGAATGTTACTAAGAGTTCCAGAAGGATATAATACAGGGATCATGAGAAAAAATTTGAAAGGAAAATGGCTATGATAGAGACTACTACTTGTTTTCCAACAGCCAGTCATCCCCTCTTTCTTACTGATAAAAGCACCCACTTTTAGCAGGAAATTTGGCAGACCAGAATAAAGATGGTATTTTCCAGCTTCTTTTGTAGCTGGGTTGACTATATTACTGTGTTCTGGGATATAACCAGAGCAGTATGTGCAACTTCTAAAAATGTCCTTGAAGGCAGGAGGAAGGCCCTTCTCTGCACTGTTTTTTCCTTGTAGCTGGAACACAGATGTGATAGTCTAAGATTTTAGCCATCTTGTTGAAAATGGAGGAGCAATAAAATATAAAGATCCTTGAGCCCCTGACATCATCAAACACATCAGGATGGCCTAATCTGTACAAGAAAGAAATAAACCTCTATCTTATATAAACTATTCTGATTTAGGATTGTTGTTTTCTTTAATCATTTGTAGCAAATTCTACTCCTAACTAATACAATGACTGAGAATTTTCTAGGATTAAAGAAAGATGTGGATTTTCAATTGAAGGAGTAAAATGAATTTAGAACTAGAAAAATGAAATCCATACATAGACACAATAGTGAAACCACAGAATATCAAATGTAAAGAGAAAAACCTTAAAAACAAGTAAGAGATAAAAGAGCTCTTACCTATAAAGGAAAGACAATCATAATGTCAGCAGACTTTTTATCCACAGCAATGGATGCAAGGCAGCAATGGAAAAATATCTCAACAGAGCTGAAAGCAATAATGGTCAACACAGAACTCCATGCTAAAATAAACTGTGAGTCAAGAATGAGGGTAAAATATGGACATTGTCTGACATACTCAGATTAACAGTAATTGCAAGCACTTATATAATACATAATTGTACAAGATGCTATTCTAAGTGCTATATAAATATGTTAACTCAGTAATCTCCACAACCCTCTGAGGTAGCTACTATGAACATAACCATCTTGGAGATGATGAAACTAAGATACAGAGAGGTTAAGGTAACTTGCTCAAGGTCACACAGCCAGTAAATGGCCAAATTGGGATTTAAGACCAGGCATTCTAATCAAGACTCCATGATTTAATTAATCACTGTGCTTCACTGTCTCCGTGACTAATAGTTACCCACAGATCTTCAATGAAATAATTACTGAAAGATGTCATTTAAAAATTTATATTAAATCTAGACAGAAAAAGTTATGATGTAAGCAGAAAAGCAAGGCAAATAAATCAGTAAATCATACTGATTAACCTATATATTAACTATACGAATGTTCTTTCATGAAATTCTAATAGATTCTATGGGACTTTTTTCCTTATAGTTTCTTCATTTGGCTATATATATCTACATCTACATATATACATACACACACATACATATATATATTTATATATTTTTATATATTTATATATTATATATATATATTATATATATGACAACCCTATGTTTCCCTCACCTCCAAAAGAAATTCGGTAATTTTTCTTGGTCTGTGAAATTCCAAAATCTGGAAACTATTGGTTTGATCTATTGTGAAACAGGATTTTTTTGAAAAAGCAAATTTTCAAGCTTTATTACTATATCATAGAAAAATATATATACATATTTATTGGTAATTGGGTGTTTGTATTCATGATGTAGGGAAAACAGGCTGCATGAAACCATTAGTTAGAATTGCTATTCTCTGAGGAATGTGGCCCAAGGAAAGGGTATGCTATAAATCAAATGCAAAAAAGGAGAAGAAAAACCCTTTCCACCACAGAAATGCATTGCCAACTTATTCAGATTTATGGAGAAACAGCTTTTCATTGGTAAAATATATCAAGATGCTCTATAATATTTCAGCCAGGAAGGCAGAGCCCAGTGCTATTCTGTGGCCACAAAAGCCAAAGATGGACTTTAAGAGATAGAGAAAACATGCTACTTTTTACTTACTTGCAATATTTTCTTTATTACAAAAATTTCCTCAAATTACTCTGTAAATTCTTTTTAGTCTGTAGATTCTAAGAAAACATTAGCTTTATTCTTAAGTAATCTTACAGGTCACATAATTTCCTCATTATCTGGTCAACTTTATGCTAGGAGACATCCCAAAAAATGGTCCCCAGAGTTCTAGCTCTGTGTTTCACAATCATAAGCAAAAGAATTGAAGAAACTTTTGACCTTACATAATTTTCATGGCTAGAATATTAATTGTAGCTCTAATAGAAATTAAATTTCCACATTTGGATCTTCTGCAAAAACAGTTTCATCTTTGTTTGCTTTTGTTTTTGTTTCTTTATAGTAGTTTCAGCAGCAGCTTATGTATTTTGTTGTGGTGGGAGTTGGGGGTAGTGGGAAGTTACTTTTAAACATCAGGCAATAAAGTTGAAATTTCTTTGAAAGCCCCTACATAGCCTATTATGTCTGGTATACATAGTTTTGTGCACAGTATTTCTTATATGCACTAGAAAATATCACCGAGCTAGAAGGACAAAAGGAAAAGTCCTGTCAGATGTCTGTCTGCTTGCAGTTTCCTCCGTTTGGTTTTAGTATGAGATTTCCAGAATCCTACTGCATGCCCATACAATAAAGGATTAACCTGGCCCAAAGAGAGGTCTGGCCTTTGCCCTTGGATGCTGTGAGGTAACTTCTAAGACCTCAGAATGTCCTGCGTGAGAAGAGCGTCTTTGTTTACTTGGGGGCACTGAGCCATGCTGGCCTATACTAACAATGTAAGTTATGGTGAGGGTCTTGGGCCACATGGCATCAGCTTGACCTCTGGAAGGACTGGAGTCTGAGGTCAGCCACACGGCTGACAACCATGTCTTATATGACGAAGCCCAATAAAAACTCTGGACACCAAGGCTCAGAGAATTTCCCTGATTGACATTACTCCCTGCCATGTATCGTCACACATCATTGCTGAGAGAAGTCAGCACTATCCACAATTCTGCTGAGAGAGTACAACTGGAAGCTTGTGCTTGGAATTCTCCTAGAACCTGACCTATATGCCTCTTTTCTTTGCTGATTTTAATCTGATTCTTTTACTGTAATGAACCGTAATAATGTATACTCTGGAGTGAGTGAGTGAATTCTGGAGTCCTTCTAGCAAATTATCAATCATGAGGGTGGTCTTGGGAACTTCACACTTGAATTGGTACTCCATACATCATATACACAAAGCATACCAGGCCACAGGAACCTGCAACCATCTCACTGGGTCACAGAACAATTTTCCTCTCATGACAAGCACTTAAATCCTCAGTTACCAAAACACTGGGATGGGCAAAATTTGTCAGGAATTTGTGCGTGTGTGTGTGTGTGTCTGTGTGTCTGATGTGAAATGAACCTTGATTTGCAGACATTTTGACTCATACCATCTAACAATAATCTCAGGAGGCTAAAAAAAAATCCTGAAAATCACTGGGGAGACAGCTTGGGCCAAATGGTGGACCAAACACTGAAAAATCTGGTTTCTAACCCTAAGGCAGGTCTTGAAGCAGTTCATCTCATCAACATAAACATCAGTGTTTTAATCCATGAAGCAAGAACGATTAGAGCAACTCTGCTTAGGTTGTGGGTGTTCTTAAGGATCACATTCAGAAAGAAAATTGATTTGAAAGTGCTTTAAAATTTGTAAAGCAACCAGACAGATGTATGGTTTCATTATTTCATTTTTGAAGTCATGAGCCTAGGAAAATGTTCACTGGCAAATCAAAATGGTTGTTTAAATAACCAGGACAATTCCTTGGTTACAGGAAAGCACTGTTTTGAAAGGAGGGAAAAGAATACTACTGAGTGCATTTGCTTTCTAATATATATATAATTTCCTAGACCACAGGGTAGTTTGTAAATCAATGCCATGAGGACATTTCTCATCACACCAATCACACCAAAGTTGCCGGAGTTATTTAAAATAATTCAATGAGAGGAATGAAGGGTATCCCCATGGCAGAACAGCCAAGCGAGCTGTTCCTTCCTTCACCTTGCTTCTGACATTATCGCTGAATTCACACACACAAAAACATGTAGTAATTCTATGCTACTTCAGTCCTATATTTTGGTCTTGCCAACTTTTTTTTTTTTTTTAATTTTTTATTGGATTTTAGGTTTGGGGGTACATGAGCAGAGCATGCAAGACAGTTGCATAGGAACACACATGGCAGTGTGCTTTTCTTTCCTTCTCCCCTTCACCCACATTTGGCATTTCTCCCCAGGCTATCCCTCCCCACCTCCCCCTCCCACTGGCCCTCCCCTTTTCCCCCCAATAGACCCCAGTGTTTAGTACTCCCCTTTCTGTGTCCATGTGTTCCCATTTTTCATCACCCGCCTATGAGTGAGAATATGCGGTGTTTCATTTTCTGTTCTTGTGTCAGTTTGCTGAGGATGACGTTCTCCAGATTCATCCATGTCCCTACAAACGACACAAACTTATCATTTCTGATTGCTGCATAATATTCCATGGTGTATATGTGCCACATTTTTCCAATCCAGTCTATTATCAATGGGCATTTTGGTTGATTCCAGGGGTCTTGCCAACTATTAAGGAAAAAAAAAGTAAGCCAGGCATGGTGGCTCACGCCTGTAATCTCAGCACTTTGCGAGGTCGAGGCGGGTGGATCGCCTGAGGTTGGAAGTTCAAAACCAGCCTGGCCAACATGGTAAAACCCCATCTCTACTAAAAATATAAAAAGTAGCCAGTTGTGGTGGCTCATGCTTGTAACTCCAGCTACTCGGGAGGCTGAGGCAAGAGAATCACTTGAACCTGGGAAGGGGGGGTTGCAGTGAGTCAAGATCATGCCACTGTACTCCAGCCTGGGTAACAGAGTGAGACTGTCTCAAAAAATAAGAAAAAGAAAAAAATAGTCAAAATTACATTTTCAGAGAAGAAAGCAGGGAAGAAGGTAAAACTCCCTGCTGCCTTTACAAGAGTGTTGGGGAAGTTATAAAATGCATCTTACAAATCCCCTCGAAGGTGTATTACAAATATTTTAGTACTTAAATAAAAACTATGTAAAGATGACTAGTAAACTTGGCATTACAAAATTGTTGCTGTATAGTTGACCATGGGGTTTTTTTTGGTTTTGTCATCCAGAGTTCTATCCCTATGAATCTGAATTGGGCAGGAACCCAAATGACTTGAAACACACAAATCTGTGGGTAGTTCTGCCTAGCGACTCCTCCTAAGCCAGCCCTGGTCAGTCTAAACTGTGGGAAAAGGTGAAGCCGCCCATTGGTCCTTAGGAGAAAGCTCTGTTGTGGAGGTCTGCTTCCCTTGTGACATGCATGGAGAAGAAGCCTGAATGGAGGGGTGGGCTGTGAACCACCAAGGCCAGAATTGCAGAGTTCCTGACGTTCTCAGGAACTTCCTGGAAGTCTTGAGAGGTGAGACACAGTCCCTGGGGGGGTAGTCTGCCCTGTCAACTTTGGCCATACCCAGGTTGGCCTGCCAAGTGAACTTTTTATTGTTAACAAATGTCGCTCCACCCAGAGCAGGATTTTCAAAGATTCCTTAGATGAATAGGAACTTCTGGTTGCTCCTTGTTTTCTGAAGTGTGTTATGACAGGCATTTGATCTGTTCCTTCTTTGTAATTCAGGAAAAATTCCTCAGAGCCTAGAGGGTGACCTTTAACAGAAAGCAGCAGACGCTGTTATTCCTTTCCAGGCAGTTGCAGCGTCTGACAGGTTGATAGATTAATTTTCTCACAGATGTGTTCATGTTTTCAGGCTGCTTAAGAGAAAAGAGGAAGCGTGTCACTCCCCCCACTATTTCCTTGTTTGATTTTGAACCCCCTACATGGGAAGATGGGGAGGATTGAGACAGGGAGGTGAAGTGCCAGGCTCGGCCATAGAGGAGAGCCCAGGAAGTGATAGGGTGTACCCTGCAGGTACCACCACTGGGGCTGACACCCTTCACCAGGGTGCTGGCTCCTACTGGGTCTTTAGGGGGAAGGCAGGCCCGTTCTTATTCCACATTCACCCGCAGTCATCTTGGGCAGGCACATCTGGGCCTGGCATCTGTTCTGGTGTGGTCCCAAGGGAATGGTTATGGATTGATGAGTTTGGTCCTGGGTTCTGAGTGGCCCTGGGGAAAGGGCTACACCCCACCCCCACTCCACAGCAAAGGCAGCAGTCTGGAGATTTCCAGCAGGGAGGCTGGGTGCCTGCAGGCATCACACCTGCTGTTGCAGTTGTCCACGTCTTGCTTCTAGTAAATTTCAGACATGCCGGTGGTGGGCGAGGACAGAGGCAGCCCAGGCGGCGTCTCCCGGGAGGACAGCTTCAGCGCCAGAAACACAGCAGGTTGGCCAGGAAGCTAATCCCACAATGTGGGTGGGCACGGGAGTGGTCCCGCGCATGCTCCAGTTTGGGGAGCAGCTGCGCAGCCGTGGGAAGAACTGAGTCTAGGGAAGCAGGAAAGCAGGTTTCCGAAATCACGGCCTTGTCACTTCCCGGCTGTGTGACCTTGAGAATGTTACCTAACCTCTCAGGGTCTGGGTCCTTTATCTGTTAAGTGATGATAATGTGAACGGCTACATCAGACGTCCTAGTAAGGAATGAATGGGATAGTGCATGTGGTGGTGCTCTGTCAACAAGAATAGCTGCTAACGTTTGTGGAACTATTCTATGAACTGTATGTTTTAGCTAGCAACGCTTTAAAGTAGGTCACTATTTTTTTTTTTTTTTTTTTTGAGACGGAGTTTTGCTCTTGTTACCCAGGCTGGAGTGCAATGGCGCGATCTCGGCTCACTGCAACCTCCACCTCCCGGGTTCAGGCAATTCTCCTGCCTCAGCCTCCCGAGTAGCTGGGATTACAGGCACACGCCACCATGCCCAGCTATTTTTTTTTATTTTTAGTAGATACGGGGAGGTCACTATTCTTATACTCATTAAAATGGGATAGCAAATAAAGTGGGGCCACAGAGAGATTAAGAAACTTGTCTGTGGCCAAACTGTAAAGGTGCAGTGGAGCCAATATTTACGCCCAGGTCATCAGATTCCATGCCCACCTTCTTCATCACTAGCAATGATACTATCATACAGGAAATGGCAGTGTTCATGTTCATCAGAAAGCTTCCTTCCTTCTTAGCCTCATCTTCAGTCAGTTTCTGGGATCTGAAGAGTGTACCTGTATCATATTTGTCCTCTAGTTTTTATTACGTCACTCATCGTGGTGGTTATAAAGCATGGCTTCCGCTTTTTGATGCTCCTCCTATTGAGAGGTAGAGTCTGTGTCCACTCTCTGTGAATCTGGGCAAGCTTGTGATTGCTTAGACCAACAGAGCAAGGCAGAAGTTGTGACAGAAGACTTCCAAGGAGAGGTCATAAAAGGCCACTGTTGGCTGGTACACAAGGCCATCACTTAAGAAGGTCAACTACTCTGAGGCTGCTGTGCCCTGTGGTCTTGCCAACCAGCAGTCCTGGAAGAGCCCAGCCTGCACTCTTCCCCAGGGTGCCAGGCACACAAGTGGAAAAGTCATCTTGGAAGTGGCTCCTGCAGCTCCAGCTCTTCAGCCCCAGCCACCTGAGCCCAGTCTTTTCAGCTAAGGCCCGAGATTGAGGAGGAGGGACGAGTCATACCTCCTGCATAACAAAGTGGTGTGGTTTGCTGCTCTGTTTGGGGTCTGTTATTGTACTGTAATACCCAACTGGCATTCTTGGTATATTTCAAACCAGGGTCATCTCTACCTCCTACATTTCCCCTCCTATAGTTCTGCTCTCCAGTTAACAGTATCTTAGGTCACCAGTGGGTCCCTCTGAGTCCTCTTTTCCATTCCCACTGCCCCTGCCTTATGTAGTTCAGGACCTTACCGCTCCCCCCATTCACAGGCAGTGGTCTCCTACTGACCTCCCTGACTTCACCTTCTCGCACCCTGTCCCTTCTCTGTACTGCAGCTGGAACTGGTCTTTCCAGATGCACCTGAGTCAGAGCCATCCCAGTCTTGCTTAAAATTATCTAAGGTATCCCTTTGGCTGCCTGAAGGAGTGACATAACCTTCACAGTGGGGCGGCCCCTCTCTAGCCAGCCACGCTCCCAACCCAGTGCTCACTGCTCGGTCTTCCCGGAACCAGTCAGGCGCACTTGTGCCTCTGTCCTTCCTCCATGCTGCTGCCTGGGTGGCCCAGACCTTCACTCCTCCACATGGCTGTAATATTTTATTCTTTCCTCAACGCCTGGTGCGGGGATCACGCTCTCAGAAGCTCCCCTCCACCAACCCCACAGCACAAATGCTCCTTCATGGACATCCTAGCCTTCCCTAGTCTGCGTGTCACTTTTGCAGCACTTCTTATCTGTCTCTACACTCTGTATGTCCAGGGCTTGCCATGTGGCTAGCCTGGCATACAATACATGCCCTATAAATGCTTCCAGGAGTTCCTCTGCTGCTGCCCTCAGAGAGTAATCTTTGCCCTAGTATAATTTGTCTTCTTAAAATACAGACCCAACAGTTTGCCTCCTCCTCAAAAACTGCAGGTGGCTGCCTATTCAATAAAGACACAGCTCCTTGGCATGGCATCAGTGACCTCCACCTATGTCCTTGGGCTGAAGGAGGCTTGAGTCTTCTCTGTACCTGTTTATTCTCCAGCATGGCACCATCGTTGGTTTGTGAATTTCTGTATGACATATTTATATTCCTAATAGTCTGTTTCTCCTAGACAGAATCTATTCTTCCATTCCTCTATTCTGTCATTGAGTCTCCACATCAAGTCCCATGAATGCCCATGAGGTCGTTTTTATTCCTGGCTATTAAAATGGCAAGTTCACTTTATTATGCATGGCCTGGCCAATGTCACCTGGACACCCGAGGTGTTTCTTGCCTCCTTAGCCTGTACTGTACTATGCAGCATACCTGCCTGCTATATTCCTCCCTCTCTTCTACTCCCTACTCTCCATAGTAACTGATAGTCTGTTTTACCTGAGAATTTCTTGCCTGCTCCATAATTCTTATAGATGGAATCCTAATGTGCTGAAAATGCAAGTCTTTTTTTCTTTTCTGTTCTGTTCTTTTATGAGATATTTTAAGTATTAGAAAAGTAGTGAAGGTCCTTTTTAAAATAAGGTAATTGGAGTAATTAAATTTGAGTGATCTGATTGAGGGATGAGATTATAAAACTTGTTTGGACTTTCCTTTGGTTGTGGATGGTATTTTGAAGTATAAAGAAAAAACTCTGTCAGGGCAAAGGAGAATAAGGATTTTAAACTTTTAAGTAAAGTAAGATAATGCTTAGAGAACCAATCACAAATCTTTCCAAATTAACAGGATAGTTTGTCTCCTTTTAAGAAACTTAAACATCAACCAGTTGTTCACATTTTTTTCCTTTCAGAGGAATGTTATGCAATTATCCAAAGTGTGTGTCAGAAAGAAAAGGCTGGATAAACCTGAACTTGGATATGTAGTGGTCACTTTTCATACACAGAGGACTGAATAGATTTCAAATCCTCTTTCATTTCTTTCTTCTTGGAAAAATAAAGGCAGAATCAGCCAGTGCTAAATTTTGCCTCTAGAGCAAATGATGAAATACATATGTCAAGACACCCTTTCAGTTTCCCGAGGGCCCCCTCCCCCATCTCCCCTGCGTGTTTGCAATGCACAGAAGGCTCCACGCAGATTTCCCAGCTACATTTTCTTCCCTGATCTACAAAAGTGTCTATTAATCTTATTGGAGAAATATTTCTTCTTGTTTTGCTTCTACAGATAATAGAATATCTAGTGAATTATTAATAAATGCAGGGTAAATTTTCATGACATTAATTCTTCAAAGTTTTAGGCTTCTTTTTCTCCTCAAGGCTTTCCAGCTACCTTACCAGCATTTACAAATATCCCAAACAAGATCCCAAACCCAGAAGCTGGGAAGGAACAGAACAGCAGGTTTATCTACAAAAAAATATAAAGTGCTCAATGGCAAAAAACATAACTTTAATAAAGTTAAAAGATAAAGGGAAAAGTGGGAGAAAATATTTGTAAGATAACAAAGTATTAATATTCCTAACATAAAGACATTAAAAATTTTATATAAAGAGCTCAGACAAACCAGTATACATGAAGTCATCAAATTAATAAGAAAAATCAGCAAAGGGCCTGAACAGGCAATTCACAGAAGAAATACAGAGTAGATACTGCCAAACAATTACAAAGGAGGAACAAAACACAAGTTTTTCCCTATAGGTGGGCAAAAATTGAAAAGATCGTTTGTATACAATGCTGGTAAGGGTCGGGGGAAGCAGGTACTCTAATGGTGTGAATATAAATACATATGACTTTTTAGAAGGGCAATTTGATGAAAGTTATCAAAATTGGACATGTGTATACATTTTTACTTTATGATTTTACTCTTTGGTGTCTATCCTACAGAAATAACTACACAAGGAAAGAAGAGCACATTTACTAGGGCATTCATTTGCTATATTATTTGAAGTGCAAACAATTGAAGAAAACTTCAGTGTTCAACAGGGAACTCTTTAAATACACTGTGGTACATCTGTACAGCAGAACTCTCTACTGTGCACTGGAAGCATGGACTAGGTCTTCTCCAAGATACATGTGAACTAACAGCAAGTCACAAAGCTATTGATATAGGTAGTATGTTCCAATTTTTATTGTAAAAATTTCAAATCATATATATATAGAGAGAGAGACTGCGTGAGTTTTGGAAGATTACTCACCGCAGTGTGACTATCCCTGGAAAGTGGAGATAAAGAAGCAACTCCTTTTTTTAGCTTTATACTCTTCAATATTGTTTAAAATGTTTACAATGACATAACACATTTAAAAAATTTTTTGGGTTTGTTCTTGGGACGGTCTCATTCTGTTGTCAAAGCTGGAATGCATTAGCATAAACACAGCTTACTATAGCCTCAGCCTCCCCGACTCAAGTAACACTCCTGCCTCAGCCTCCCAAGTAGCTGGGACCACACGTGCACACCACCACATCTGGTGATTTTTATATATATATTTTTGTTTTGTAGACAGGTTTTCACCACATTGCCTGAGCTGGTCTGCAACTCCTGGGCTCAAGTGATCCTCCTGCCTCACCCTCCCAAACTGCTGAGATTATAGGCATGAGCCACGGAGCTTGGCCTGTTTTTAAATTTTCTCATGAAAACAGTTGAAGAAAAATAAAATCCAGAGACACTCTTAACTAGATTCCTGTCGTGAGTACCAACTCACTAAGTTTTAAAGATCCCTAATACATCGCAGTGACCTTAAAATCTCAAGTTCACATTATGGTCCCTCAATTGGAATAGAAATTCCTTCACTGGAATAGACATAATGAGTTTACAATTGAGACCATGTGTTTCATTTCTGACCCTCATCCCAATTACTCCATCTTACTCATTTCCAGACAAATATTCTCATGGACATAAACCTGAGCTTTGGTGACAGTCACCCAGAATAATGTACTATACACTCATTGAGGCAATGGGCTGGCAGTGCCCAGGATTAGGAGTAACAAGGAGTGAATTAAAGAAAGCCCGCCAGACATCACACCCCACCAACTGCTGTGAACAGTGTTCACACCCCTCGCCAGCCAGGGCTGCCACTGCTTGGCCATTTGCGCTGAGGCCCAGGAAGCTGAAGTATTTGGAAAAAGCATTAGCTCGATACCAGGGCTTCTCCCAGCTGGGCACTGTTAGCACAAGAAATTAGTCTTTGCTTTCCTTGAGGGCAAAGGCACTCAAGATCCCTGTGAATTTCACACAAGAGTTTGCATGCCAGAATTTTGTGAATGACCTAGTGTCGTCCTTCTGAAGAATGGAGTCTTCACTTCTCACCTTAGCAGTCTGTTTTCCTGACTTCCGCTCCCTCGGCCAAGTCTCAAAGGAGAGGACGGCACTCTTGGGCTTATAGAAGCTACTCATCAGCCCTTGGGGACTGTTGATTTTCTTACAAAAGGAATTTATGGCAACACCTGTCTGCAGACTATCCATGGTGTGCTGGTAAAGGTTTAATAAATGGCTCTCTGAGAAACAACAGCCTGATTCATAATATTGACCAATTTCCACAGTGTAACTACAACTCACATGGCTGATGTCAAGCTACCAGCAAAACTTTACTGAGTATCAGTTGGGAAGAGATGTGTACAGTATATAGTATCATTACATAGTATTTCTACCTCAAGAGCAGATGCAATGGTCAAGGGCAGTAAAATGATTAGGAAATGATAAGTTGTGAATATTTATGACATTTATTTTTTACATAATTTATATAAATATATATAATTTAACTTCTAATAACAGATAGGTTTAACAACCAGCTCTCAGAATTCCTGAAAACCTAACAGTCGGCTCTTCCAAGCCAATAGCAACCAGCTTCAGCACACCCTGAGACTGCTACACTGCAAAATACTGTAGATACTATTTTTCCCAGGAAAATCACAGTCATTATTTCCTTAATGAAAACCCAGTTCTCCCTGTGTTTTTAGCAGTCCACAGGTATGTTTGTGTGGCAACAGCAGGTGTTTGTATTCACAGCTCCTTGGACTTAGTGTAGGGGCTAGAGATTGTGTAGCAGATGAGGAAAGGCACAGATGTTGGAGTCAAATAGACCAGTGACTATTCTGTGTCAATGTGTCATTTAATTAACCTTTAGGCCTTAATTTAATAATATTTATCACCTGCGGGATTGCTGTAAAACAAAGAGGTAAAGCAGGTAGAGAATACACCTAAAAATAGAGCAAGTGTGAAGTATAAGGACTGACACACATGAAACCCCCAGCCCTGAGCAGGAGCTTCATACATGTTAGTGCTTCTCTCTTTAACATGTGTCCATAGATTCCCCAGTTAATTGGTGGGAGCTATTTAGAGAGTCCTGCAGAGCCGGGAGCATCAGGACACAGTAGGCTGAACTCGGTTCTCCTTTCCTTTTTACCAGATTTGGGAATCCGGCTGGGAAAAACGTTGACTTTATCATCCTGTTACCTGGCAACAGTCAGTAGTTTAACCTTCTCCATCAGAGTTGCCATTGTTGGGCAGAAGGTTCATTGACAAAACTGACCTGGGTGTGTGATGATGTTATTCCTCTGGGTTACCAAGGCAGGATAACCAGTGCTAGTCTTCCTTGGGAAAAATGCTGTCCCCTCTACTCTGTTTAAACTCCTGGATAAGCTTTGCAACCTCCGGAGCTTATCCAGGCACAGGCCTGCATCTAAGAGTTTAAAACAACATTTTCTTTTCTTTTTGAGATGGAGTTTCGCTGTTGTTACCCAGGCTGGAGTGCAATGGCATGATCTTGGCTCACTGCAACCTCCGCCTCCTGGGTCCAAGCAATTCTCCTGCCTCAGCCTCCCAAGTAGCTGGGACTACAGGTGCGCCCCACCATGCCCAGCTAATTTTTGTATTTTTAGTAGAGATGGGGTTTCACCTTGTTGACCAGGATGGTCTCGATCTCTTGACCTCGTGATCCACCTGCCTCGGCCTCCTAAAGTGCTGGGATTATAGGCGTGAGCCACCGCGGCCACAAAAACAACATTTTTAAACAGGAAAACTATCTATTATAGTGACTTAAATTCCTCCCCAATTAACTGAAAAAATCATATGTTTTATACATGTTCATGGATTTTCTTAGAACATCCAAATTTTGTTTTGAAATGCATGTGGGAAAATATGCATGCAAAATTACCCAAAAATTGTCTAGAAAAGAAGAAACAGAGAAATGGCCAGCTTTCTCAGGAAACAGTATTGTAATTAACAATAAAATGCAGAGGTACTGATTCAAACAAAAATAACTAAGGCATAAATAACAATTCCCAAAACGATAAAGAGAAAGAAGTATCCAACAAAAGGAGAAAACTGGAATGATGTTCCCTCTACTCTATTTAAATCAAACTCCCTTTTCAAATCACAGCTCAGTTCCCATAAGCTGCAATAAACCTTTTTGGACTCACATGTCCTGAGTTCTTACAGCTGTAGAACTTGTTATTCCTACTCCTAAGTTTGTGCTTTCATGATGAAAGTACTGTACTATTGTCCTTTGCAGAGATTTAAATTGTCATATTTTCACACCTTCTGTTTTTGAGGGCAGAGAGCATGTACTATAAGCCTCATATGACAGGCACACAGCCTCTACTTAAGCTTCACACACAACAGGCACCCAAACTTATGAATGAATAATAAACCAATGAAGAAACAAATGAACAAAGCAATAAATGAATGCTATAGATATCAGCAAAACAGAGCTTCTAGGGCTCTCAGTTTCCTAGCCTGGTCTCACACAAGGAAATGACATTGATTCAACTTAAAAATAAGGCTTTTGATATACATGTGGTTTATTAGCCTGGTCCACTGTGACTGACATCTCTGGAAAGTGACCTGGCTGCTCCTAACAATGCCTCCTCATCCACATGGATCATCAAACAGCCAAGAAAGGATGTCTGGTATGCATTTCAGATTTTATCCTTTGACTTCTATTTTTTCTCTAGTTCCTCACTCTTCTAGTGTTTCATAATGTGTGGTTACTAGATCACCTCATCAGATCATCTGTGGCCCTGGTACATATGCAGATTCCTGGGCCAAACTTGCAGGATTTTGAATCAGATTCTTGGGGATGATGATGTGAGATCTGCATCTCCTGGGTGATTCTTATGTACTCAAAGGTTCGAGAATCCCTTATTTAGAAGAACAAAGAAAGGCCAGGCAGGATGGCTCATGCCTGTAATCCCACTACTTTGGGAGGCTGAGGCAGGTGGATATCTTAAGACCAAGAGTTTGAGACCAGCCTGGGCAACATAGGGAAACCCTGTCTCTACAAAAATTCAAAAAATTAAGTTGGCCAGGTACAGTGACTTATGCCTATAATCCCAGCACTTTGGGAGGCCAAAGTGGATGAGACACCTGAGGTCAGGAGTTCGAGACCAGCCTGGTCAACATGGTGAAACCTCATCTCTACTAAAAAAAAAAAAAAACCCAGGCATGGTGGCATGTGCCTGTAATCCCAGCTACTCAGGAGGCTGAGGCAGAAAACTCGCTTGAACCTAGGAGGGAGAGGTTTCAGTGAGCCGAGATTGCACCACTGCACCCCAGTGGGGGTGACAAGAACAAAACTGTGTCTCAAAAATAAGCAAAAAATTAGCTGGGTCTGGTGGTATGCACCACTACTCTCAGCTACTTAGGAGGCTGAGGTGGGAGGATTGCTTGAGCCTGGGAGATTGAGCTGCAGTGAGCCAAGATCAGGCCACTGTCTTCCAACTTGGGCAGCAGCACAAGACCCTGTCTCAAAAATAATAATAATTTAAAAAGGGAGAAGAAAAATAAATGTGTTGAGTGCCTCTTATATGCTAGGTACTTGTATTTACGATTATGATACCTCCTTTGACGTTTACAATACCACTAAATGTAGACTTTATTATTCTCTTTCAGTGATGAGTCTTAGACACTAATGTATTGATAAGACAAATTGCCAAAGGCTCTTCAGTGAATCGGTACAAGCTCAGATTCCAAAACAAATGCATCTGACCACCTCCCTGTACCGTAACTCCCCCCAACCCCCTGCACTGCCTCAGTTCTTCCCATGACACCACACTGCCTACTCCCACCTGGAGTGTCTTCTCATTTGCATGGATTCAAGGTTCCAGGTTCCAGCTGATTGATAACTTTCTATACTGACCCAAAGCGACCTCTGAGATGCTACTCCACAACTCATTTGGCACAAGAGTTAAAATATTCAAAAAGCTCCTGGGAATTCCTTATCTACCTGTAGACATTACAGGGAGACCTTGTGCTTATAACCTCTCCCCCAGCTGCAGTGCCACATGAGCCAGGGCTATGTATCCTCCACACCCAGTTCCCACACCTGCCTCTGACATACACATGCGCACATGTGTGCACACACATACACAGACGTATGATCACACCCATGCCTTACCAAGTATTCTGTACAGACACGTGCTACCATGGGAACGTGGGCACAAAATACGTAGTTGGTTCTCCTCTTTCCTTTATAGATATTTTCAAAACAGTGTTTCTGTGGTGATATCTTTTTTAGTATTCGTGTTTCCTTGACTACAGGTTAAGAATGCTGAAATGCCTTGGGTGCCTTTTAGTAGGTCTTTCTCCTCTGGGTTTTGTGGCTGAATGATTGTATTCCTATTCCTGAGTCAAAGTCTATTGTATTAACTATGTCATTCATTTCTTAGCAGTGAAGTCTCAGGATACGCTTGGGGAAAACAACTCTGCCCAGGAATTTGAGATCACATTTCCCTCTTTCCTGCATCAAGCGCAAGCTGCTCTTCTGCTTTCAAGGCCTGGTACTGCCCCACCGTTCTCTGCCCAAGCCCTCCTCTGCCATTTCTGTTCCAGACCCACGTGATATGGTGTTTCCAACCTCTATGCCTTTGTTCATGCTGGTTCTAATCTGAGGTTCTACTCTAGTTCCTAACTGACCCCCCAAAGGATGTTGAGCTGGTTGTTACAACTCTCTAGGCCTGTTTCTTTCTCATCATAAAAAGTCTCCACAGATCATAAAGGCTACCATTGACTAAGCTTACTTTGTACATTGCCCTAAGTATTTTACATGTTTTCTCACGTCTTCTTAATACCCCATTACAGGGAACATTACTGTTCCCATTTTCCAGATGAGGAAACTGAGACTGAGAAACTAAATAAATTGCCCAAAGGTATATAGCTAGTGAGGAACAAAGAAAGGATTAGAACCTGGCTTTGCCTAATTTCAAACCCCATCCTTTAAACTACTTGCTAGGCTGTTCTTCAAAGACCTTTCCAATCCTGAAGTCTATGATTTTATGAACAAATTCAGCCTTCCCCATCCTTTAGGTCCAGTGCCATCTACCCCTTGGAGGCTTTGAATGACTTTTCTGTAATGGATCCATCTCAGAATTCCACCCAATTTAACACTTGATTGTAAACCATCACACTGTTTTCCCATAATTTTTCAGTGGCTATTCTAGTCTTTCTTCCAGATGAAACCTTGAGGAAAAGGAGCCAATACTATTGGATAATTGTGGTCCTGGGCCACAATGCAGAAAGAGAAGGAACAGAGAGATCACCAGCATGTTTTTGGTGCCTGCGCTATGTCCTAGGTGGTTTCATGCCATCTCATTTTCTCCTTGAAACATGTTTGCAATAAGTGTTAGCAGTTTCATTCTTATAATGAGGAAGCTGAGGCCCAGAGAGGTTAAGTAGCTTACTCCATCATAAGTGGGTAAAGAGAACTTAATAAAAGTTAGTCTGATTACAAAGCACACATTTTCTACTATAGAAATATGAATGGTGAAAGACAACAAACATAATTTCCTTTCTGTTTTAGCCATTCCTCTAAATATCAATATCATCTGGGTACTCAATACCACACAATATTCTAAATCACTATATTGTTATCAATGTCCAAACAGCTCCAAGAGTAAAATACTGAATGGAAATTGAGTACAGTGACACTGAGCCAGTGCAGTAATGTGTTTACTTATGAAAATCATTCACAGTGTGGCCATTACAGATATGCCCTGGAAAGCAATATAAATAATGGAGAAATAATTATAAAACATTGCAACTAATCAGAAGATTCCATTTTTACAGTTTCTGGTAGTTCCAGGACACCTTTCTAACCTGATATTTAGCTACTTCATTTCACCCATGCTACAAACATCTCATTTCCTGCCTCCATGCCCGTTTGTTTATTTTTCCACTTGAAATATCCTCTCCAATATGTCTATCTCTTCAAATCCTACCTATATTCTAATATCACTTCTTCCCTTCAGCCTTCCTTAACCTCCTCCTTACCATCTACTAGCTAGACCCTCCACACATGCTAATTGACACACAGATGTTTTCTACCCCATATCTCATTCTCCTCTCCTTCCTGTGCTCACAAATAAACCACATTTCACAGACATTCATTTAATTGGACCATGTGGCAGATTTATGCCAACAGAATGCAGACAGAAGTGATATTCATCATTTCTAGACTGTAGTGGTTTGAAAATATGTTCACAGATTCTTTGAGACTATTTCTTTCAAGAAGTGGAGCTTGATTCCCCTCCTTTTGAGTGTGGGTTGGACATAGTGATTCTCTTCTAATGAACAAATATGGCAGAGGTGGCAGTATATGACTTCTGAGTCTAGATCATAAAAGCCGTTAAGCTTTTGTTTTATGTTCTCTCTCTCCCTCCCACTCTCTCCCTCTCTCCCATATGACATGGCTGGCTCTGGGGGAAGCCTATGGCCACGCTGTAAGGAAACTCAGTCAGCCCCATGGAGCGGTCCACATGGCAAGGAACTAAGGCCTCCTGCAATAGCCAGCAAAGAACTGAGACCTTCTGCCAATAGCCATGTGAGTGAGTCCTCTCGGAAGAGAAGCTTCACATCTCATTCAAGCCTTCAGATGACCGTGACATGGGCAAACCTTGATTGCAGTCTCATGAGAGACCCAGAGCCAGAACCACCCAGCTAAGCTGCTATCCAGTTCCTGACCCCATATAAATCGTGTTAATAAATACCTGTTGTAAACTAAGATAACAGGTCACTAATGGATTAATAAGCAGGTTATATACAGGTTTAGCTACAAATCATTCCATACAATATTTTACACAAACTCTGTTTTTTCCTAGTTATGTGCCTTGAAGTGAAAGCAGCTCTAGAAAGCCGAAGGACAAAAGGATCCAGGACCTCTGAGTCATTTGGAGGAGTGGTACCCTAGGAAGCCACCCTTACATTAAATCACGAACTTGGGACTTGTTTGCTATCGTCGTTACTGCTACTAATTCTATGTAATATACTCTCCTTTTACTTCTCACAGCATTTATTGTTCTTTACCATATGTAATTATTTATTTATGCAAATAATTATATATGGCAAAGAACAATAAATTTTGTCATTTTAGTCTATTAGTTGCTTTAAAAAGAAAAAAAGAACATTGCTATGGTTTGACTGTATCCTCCAAAAGCATGTGTTGGAAAATCAATTGCCATCATAACAGTATTAAAAGGTGGGACCTTTAAGAAGTGAGTAGGCCATGAGGGCTCTGCCTGCATGAATGGATTCGTGCTGTTATTTCAGGAGTGAGTTTCTTATAAAAGAACAAGTTAGGCTCCCCTCATTTTCTCTGTTGCACATTCTCTTGGCCTTCTGCCTTCTGACATGGGATGACAGAGCAAGAAAGCCCTCCCCAGATGCAATCCCTCCATCTTGGACTTCTCAGCTTCTAGAACTATGAGCCAAATACATTTCTTTTCTTTATAAATTGCCCAGTCTTTGGTATTGTTATAGCAGTACAAACCGGACTAAGACACACGAAATGAGAAATGACAAGATGTTTGGCAGCATGTGCTTTGCCAGTGTCTCTCAATTAATTCTCACAATCGCCCTCCAAAGTAAATGCTATTATTACTCTGATTTTTCAGATGTGAAATACGAGCTTGGGAGAGGTAAAGTGACTTGTTCATAGCCAAGCTGACAAATCTGATGATCCCCAAACTCATGCCCTAAGCCATTCTGATATGCTCCCTCCCAGTGAGCCCTGCATCTCACATGGGGCCTAACAAAGTGTCTTACATACTTTGTTTGGTAAATTAATATCAGCGACTACATGAATAAGTGAATGAAGAAGTAGCAACATGTTAAAAGGGGAAATGTCATAAAAGTTCACAAAGAATCAAAAAATCCCATTTCTCTCAAACATTTTATCCTCATACAAATGGCCCTTTTTACTTGTATGCCTCTGAACTTTAGGGTACTATTGGCTAGGACACATAAAGAGACTCATTCACTGGGTGAAAAGCATGCTTAGAGAATACTAAAAAATTCTTCATAATGTCTACATTTTTAGATCAAGAGCCTCAAGTGCTTCAGGACATCAAACAAATTTAGGACTTTTCTGAAAAGCTGATTCATTAAGGAAAGCTGCTGAAATCCACGGGAACCTTTTAAGGAGAGGAGAGGGACACAGTGATGGGTGCCGTTTCACTAGAAACCTGTGTCCATTCACTGCCAGACTGTGGAGACTCCGAACATGACAAAGGCTTAATTGTTCTTGCCAGAACAACATGGTAATGGAGTGAAAGAGTGGGTGCCCTGTGTACCGAGGAAAAAAGGCAGTAAATGAGTCCCTGGCACCACCACAGCAGGTCAGCCTTCACAAAGATGGGGACAGCACTCTCTGCCAAAAACCCAGTCTCAGCAAACTTGCTCTATGCATTAAAACTCTATCAGATTTAAGCTAAAACAGCTATATTTCCAAAACATGCAGCCTGTGCACCATGGGAAAAGGAAGACTATCCCTACCTTGGGAGTAGTTAAGTAATGAATAGTCTCAAACTCTTTTAATGGGAGCAATGCCCACGGCTTCCTTTCTGATTTGCTTGCAATTGACATTAGCCTCAAGTCATCACCCTGTCTCCACTTCAGGTTCATGTCTATGAATGTTCCAATTCTCCCCAAAGAAAGCTTACACTTTCCTTCTGCAAACATTTTTTTTTCTGAAATGAAAAATGCTGCATTTCAACATTTAACTTTGGGGAATGGAGCAGAAGGAAGGAGACATTTGTTTCCCATGCTCAGTTTGTTTTTTTTTTTTTAAACCACATGTACTTACTACATTTTTTTTTAAACAGGGTCGCTCTGTTGCCTAGGCTGGAGTGCAGTGATACAAGCGTAGTTCATGGGAGCCTTGACTTCCTGGGCTCAAGCAATCCTCCTGCCTCAGCCTCCTGGGTAGCTGCAATCACAGGCGTGGGCCACCATGACTGACTAATTTTTTAATTTACTTTTTTTTTTTTTGGTAGACATAGAGTTTCACTATATTGCACAGACTGGTCCTAAACTCCTCGGCTGAACTGCCTTGGCCTCACTAAGTGCTAGGATTACAGGTGTGAGCCACCATGCCTGGCTAATTTTAATTTTTACGTTAGAGAAGTTCATTAAGGTGATGATTATGACCACTTGGATCTTTTTGTTTTATTTTTTCTATTATTGTTTCAAAGAAGTTAAATTTTTTTGAAAACTTTCGTAACTATAACTTTCTGCCCCCAAACAACAGTTACTTTTCTAATAAACAAAACCCTTACTTCTCAGGGCAAGTTCATTCTGTATGTGCTTTTTGGGGTAGAATATTATAGAATACCATCACTAAAAAAGAAGAGACCTCAGATTATTACAGGTTTTTAAATTTTAGTATGGCTTAAAGTGGCATAATCAAGTAATATTATTTTAAATAGATCAGTGGTTTCCAACTGAGGTGATTGCCCCCCAGAGGACATTTGGCCATATCTAGAAACATTTTTGATTCTCATCTCTGGTCGGGATGGGAGAGGGTCATGCCTAGTGGATAGAGGCCAGGGAGCCTGTTGCTAAGTATGTTGCAGTGCATAGGACAGTCCCCACAACAAAGAACTACCCAGCCCAAAATGTCAGTGGTGCCCAGGTTGAGAAACCCTGACATAGATAGAATGACTCTGTTGTATAATACATAGAAGAAGTTCACACTGAAGTTATGCTCAGTAAGATGTTGGCAGGAGCAATCATTTCTTAATTGGCTGGGTGACACACCAAGTGTGAGGTTGAAAATGGCCAGATTTGGGGGCACAAGTTTGTGCCCTTTCTTCCTGGACGTGCGAGGTACTTGATGAACACTGTGAAATAGAATTGAATCGATCCTTGATCCTTTTTCTTTTATCTAATAAATATTTGTTCAGTCTCTGCTATGCTATCGGATACATAAGGTTTTTGGGTTTTGTTGTTTTGTTTTATTTTTTCATAGCTCACTGCACCCTTGAACTCCTGGGCTCAAGCAATCTTCCCACCTTTACCGCCTAAGTGGGACTACAGGCCTGTACCGCAATGTTTGGCTTCTTTTTTTTTTTTTTTGGTATTATTTTTAGTACAGATGGGGGTCTTGCTATGTTGCCCAGGCTGGTCTTGAACCCCTGAACCCAAGCAATCCTCCTGCCTCAGCCTCCTGAAGTGCTGGGATTACAGGTGTGAGCCACTGCAATGGCTAAACACAGCTTTTGAGAGAGATAGTGCTTTAACCATGAGCACACCTATTCTTAGGAAAAAAAGTCCCAAGGCCATTTCTAAATACTGCAATCAATATTTTGGTCAGGATATGTCTGGAGAGCTAAAATGAAATGAGAACGAAACTGAAATATTAAGGTACCTTTTATACTAAATATGCATAAAATTAATTTCCACTGTAGATGATTTTGTCATGCTGGAATTAGAAATAAATTCCTACCCCTTGGGGAAAGTCAAGGCCTAAAAGGGCACCAATTCAGGGGACTCACTGAAGCTAAGCAAGTCAAGCAAGTTAGATTTTAGGCCTGGGACATGGGTGGGAGGGCTTCTGGTACTTTCACTTTATAATATAATATCTAACTTGTCCCCACCCTAACCAGTTATCTCAGGACAGGAGGTGTTCTGGGACTTCCCTTCACATCTACAATAGCCGGAAGGATGTGAGTGTGTGGTCCCAGGGGCTGGACTTGGCTTCTCACTCGGAAGGGAGTCATTGGGAAAGTTCCCAAACCATCCCTCCCTGAGCAGTCATGAATCCACACTTAATTCCCCATCAAAGTAGGCCTCATGAAAATATTTTCCCTGAAACGTAAAAAAACCAGCAGGATGAATTCTCTCAGAAGTTCTAAAAGTTGTAGCATTATTGATCCATGAACAATTGAATTCTTTGAATTCATGCCTAAAAACATAAAAGAAGCCCCTGAACTTTTTGCACAAGTCTCTGTGGAATTTCCTATTCCAATGAAAGCAAGTTACACTTTTTAAATTATTATTTAGCAAGAATACCATTTCCAACCATCAATGTAATCACTTAATAGAGCTTTTTTGTTTATGATTCAGATTTTTTTTCTAATAACAACAAAAAATGCAGCCACACAGCACTAAGCTCAGAAAAATAAATTTACAAAAGCATATTGCAAATTTGATTCTATTTTTTAGTTGCCTTTAAGGAAAATTGTAATTGGAAGAGCAGCATGTCACTAACTACTGTGCCAAAACCAAAGCTGGTTCAGGGCCAGGTGAACCCACGGAGCTGAGGTCAGGGAAGAAGTAGCGTGTCCTCCCTGCTGGGCAGGAGTCTGCGGAAGAGTCCATCTGCGTGCATCCATCCCGGTTGTGAGTACTCCTAGCTGGCCCTGCTACCCACTCCCGACAGTCTTAGCTCGGACCCCCCTCCAGTTCCAGAGGTGACCAAAGCCCTAGTCAGGGTCCAGACCTTAGAGTCTGTCTCCAGGTTTAGCCCAGACTCTTTGGAGCCATGGGAGTAGTTTCGGGGTCCAGGACCCATCAAACAATCCCCGATCAATCCAATAGCTACTCACATCCAAGGGCTTTGACTAGAACCAGAAAAATTACAGGAATGCAGCAAGCCATCTGCCTGGATGCATTCAGCCCTGGGTCAGTCACAATAGGTGTTCAGAACCCCCGGTCCTATGTAATCAATCAAAGACAGACATCTTCCACTGAGAACTGAAACCTCTGCAGGCTCGCTGGCTTTAAATCACGCCTGTGTCACTCTGGAGCTATGGAATGAGTTAAACCTCAGCATGCTCCTTGACTTTAACTCATTCCAGTTTCTCAAATGAGAACAAAGAAAACATCAGAAGTTATCCATCAACAGTGGAATACTCTCCACACTTGGCTAAGCATCATATCTTCACTCTCCACTCAGAATTTCCCTTCACTTACAGATTTAATGCAAATCCTTTGTTTGGTTAAATGATGGCACACATGTTTGGTTTTTTATTATAATGTACTGGGTTTACTATGTGCCGGGCAGCATCTGAAGTT